CCAGCCCAAGAGATAAAGATGGTTTTATATTTTTAAATGACTGGAACATCTCAAAACAAGAAAACTGTGTCATGATACATGAAAGCCATATAGAATTTAAAATCTGAGTTAACTATCAAAAAATTACTATTTGAAAACAATCATATTTATTCATTTTCATATGGCAGACAATGTACGCCCTGCAAAGGCTAATAGTCACTAATACTTACACTTCACAAAAAAGTTTGCAGACCCTTGCCTTACACAGAATTCTTTTTATTTAATCTTTTTAATTCTTTTTATTTAATCCTAATTTATAAATTCAAATTATAAATTTAATTATAAATTTAAAATTAATTGTAAATTTAAAGACTACTTTTGTACTTTGGAAACTAATACAACAAAAAAACTGCTTCTTTCTTTTAGTGTCTCTAACACAGATGTCACTCAAAAAGTATCTACTGGTCTGTATGTTCCTTATTTGATTCCAGACTTGAAGTGGTGAAGCCACAGAGTCATTCTGGGAATGCTAGAGACGCTAAAAGAGAGAAGAAGCTTTTTTTTTTTTTTTTAATCCTGGTTAAATTTCCAATTATGTAAGTATCCACTTATACGTATGATATGTTTGGCTGTGTCCCCACCCAAATCTCATCTTCAATTGTATCTCCCATGATTTTCATGTGTTGTGGGAAGGAACCAGTGGTAGATAATTGAATCATGGAGGCGGTTTTCCCTCATACTGCTCTTGTGGTAGTGAATATGTCTCATGAGATCTGATGGTTTTATAAGGGGGAGTTTCACTGCACAAGCTCTTCTTCTCTTGCCTGCCACCACGTGAGATGTGCCTTTCACCTTCTGTCATGGTTGTGAGACCTCCCCAGCCACGTGGAACTGTGAGTCCATTAAACCTCTTTCTTTTGTAAATTGCCCAATCTCGGGTATGTCTTTATCAGCAGCGAGTAAACGAACTAACACAATGTACTTTCAAACATTGAGATAATTTATTTAGAAATTACTTTTATTTTTTTCTATTTCTTTCTGTAGTGTCTTTTCTCAATTGTTATTATTCTTCAAGTATAATCTTAATAATTCTAATCGTTACGGACTGTATTACTTATCTAGAAATCAACAATGAGAAATCAAATAAAAAGTAAATTTTACTGTAAAACTTTATTTTTTATTCAAATGCTTAACAGTCTTATTCATCACACTGTTCCCCTCTTTGAAAACTAGATCCTGGCATATTCTGATGTGCTCTGAAAATAATTTTGTGAAGCAATTCCTTTTGTCTGTAATCTTGATTCATAGACTTTCACATGAATTCTTTTATTGCTTTATTTTCATAATAGCTTTTAGGCAACCAATCATCATGCATAATACTGTGTTTCATCATGACTTTTTAGCATCCAGATGTCTATACCTCATGTTACTGCCTTTTAGACACATTTAAAAAAATAAGTTGCTATAAAAAATTGCATTCATTTCTGCAGTAAATTTTAAATTATTCTTTCATAAGGGAGACAAACTTTTACTTGAATACAGAAATACTTGGTATGCCTTTTGCTAATGTGAAAACCTGAATAAATAAAGTTGTGGTTTTGCATTGATTTGAAAGGAGCTGACAAATGGGATTTCTAAGCATATTCTTTTACATACAGACACATCACATTTGAAAATAAGTTTTCTCTTATAGTTAGTAATTTTTATAAAGAATATAAGGACAAACTGAGATTATTATCCAGACTATTTACAAGTATGTTTTGATTTCTCAGTAGATGCTTTTAGGTAAATGAGAATGCTTCTGAGAAGTGTCCCCAAAATAAAGGTTGGAATTTATATATAGGCCCAAGAAAATTTTAATGAATAGGTCAGGTTTCTTAAGAGAAAATTTGCATCAGAATCACCTGATGAGCCTTCTAAAAATATATCTGCCTGTGCCTCATCCTGCACCTGCTGAATCAAAATCCCTTGGAAGGGGCCACACATAATTTAGAAGGGTCTCTGGTAGGTTCTGATTCTCACCTTTGTTTGACCACCATTGGACAAAACCAACTCTTAAATAATAAAAATCCAAAAAAGTTAGCCTCATAAAAATATTACTGAGTTTGTTAATACAATGTTGTTATGGCAGTATTTTCCATGTGCCCCAACATTTTTATGTAAAACCTTAGATAAGAATTAAAACTTTTTCATTCTGGAGCAATTCTATAAAGTGTTTTTGTGCTCAAGAAAAACAATATACCTGACTATATTTCTTCCCTTGTTTCTCACTTTGACCAGCAGGATTCTTTGGGTTAGATGTATAGTTTAATTTTCAGCCTCTTGTACTTGAATATCTGTGTTCTAATTTTTGTTGTTGTTGTTGTGTTAATTCAAGAAAAGGAGGCTCAAGAATGTATTAAGACTCCCCTATGTATCAAAAGCATTTTAGGTACTGGGAGTAATAGTGATGAACAAAATGGTCAGGGCTTCAAATCTAGTGGCTAAGACAGATGTTAAATAAGCATTTTAGTAAGTACAGTCTGGTCTAGATATTGTAAGCCTATTTTCTGTATTGATTTATACACTTTTTTTTTCATTTTTCTTACTGAGAGATAAACCATGGGATCTCTTTAATATTTGTGTGCAAACATACATATATATGTATATATTCTTATGTATATATACATACACATATATGTGTATATGTATCTAATGTGTATACATATATTTTTATATATAAAATGTGTATATGTGTGTATATATGTGTTATATTTTATGTAGCAAAGTGAATATGCACTGTACACAGTATGGGATATATGATACACAATACAGTATGTGTATATATATCCTATTTTATACCTATTTTATACTTATGTAACTATATTGTTTTATTTATTTTGGTTATCACATCCTTTGTGGGTTAAGTTGGAATAAATGTGTGCCTGCATATATACACATACGTACACCCAAACATATAGTGAATGAATTAGAATTACAATTCACAGTATTACATATTAGCTCACATTTCATAATGTTTTATTTTTACATACTGACAACTAAGTAAAATATGTATTATATTTTGCAGTATTCCTATGCAGTTTTTTTTAACTATTTTTAATTCTTTTTGTTTTACATCATTAAATGTAAAAAGAATTTGGGGACAGTTTTGCAGTGGTGAGACTGAAATTGAAAGTCATAAAAAGCTGTTACTTTCTGTATCCACTGAAGAAAAAGGAGCATGTTATTGTCACAAACAACGTCTACATGTTGTGTGTATGATTTTTATTTTTCGAAGATGATGCTGTGCTAGTGCAACTAGTTTAATTGTCCTTATAACCTTTTTCAGCTCTCATGTGGTTTGAGTTGGTCACTAATTTTTAGGAAAATTGTAGCATGTAAATCCTGTTGGAAAATTAGATACAGTGTAAAGATTCTGAGATATAACTGTTAACCTCCTAAAATAGAGATCTAGTGTTGTGGGAAATCAGGGACCTCGAACGGAGACCCCAAGGCTGGAGCTGAGGCAGAAGAACACAAATTGTGGAGATTTCATGGACATTTATCACTTCCCCAGTCAGTACTCTTATAATTTCTTATGCCTGTCTTTACTTTAATCTCATAATCCTGTTATCTTCATACACTGAGAATGTACATCACCTCAGGACCACTATTGTACAAACTGATTGTAAAATATGTGTGTTTGAACAATATGAAATCAGTGCACTCTGAAAAAGAACAGAACAACAGCGATTTTCAGGCAATGAGGGAAGATAACCGTAAGGTCTGACTGCCTACAGGGTCAAGCAGAATAGAGCCATATTTTTCTTCTTGCAGAGAGCCTATAGACAGATGTGTAAGTAGAAGAAATATCACTGAATTATTTTCCCAGCAATGAATATTAATAATTGAGACTCTGGGAAAGGAATGCATTCCTGGAGGTAGGTCTATAGACGGCTGCTCTGGATTGTCTGTCTTATGCAGTTGAGATAACAACTGAAATACACACTGGTCTCCTGCAGTACCCTCAGGCTTATTAGGATTGGGAAATTCCAGCCTGGTAAATTCTAGTCTGATCGGTTTGTCTGCTTTCGAACCCTGTTTCCTGTTAAGATGTTTATCAAGACAATGCCTGCACGGTGGGACAGAGACCGTCATCAGTAATTCTAATTTTGTCTGGCCTTGTGATCTTTATTGCCCTTTGAAGCATGTGATTCCTTGTGACCTACTGCCTGTTCGTACACCCCCTCCCCTTTTAAAATCCCTAATAAAAACTTGCTGGTTTTACGGCTCAAGGTCATCATCACGGTCCTACCAATATGTGATGACACCCCCAAAGGCCCAGCTGTAAAATTTCTCTCTTTGTACTCTTTCTCTTTATTTCTCAGATTGGCTGACACTTAGGGAAAACAGAAAGAACCTACATTGAAATATTGGGGGCTGGTTCCCCCAATAATCTAGTATATTTTGATGGAGGAATAGTGAAGGCAGACATGATGGGTGCTTCATGGAGAAGAACTGGCCATGTTTGCAGACTGAACAACCTCAGGATGGCACACTTGCCCCTGCAACCACACTTTGAGTGCCCTGAAAACTCAGAATCCTAATGTAGTCCCCAAAATCACTGACCTTTAAATGAGAAATTCAATAGAAAGTGATATTTTTCTTAATTTTTAAAGTACACCCTGGGTAGTACAGTTAAATCACATGGTGGAAGAATATTACATTGAAAGTCCCTGTTGGAAAAATATAAATTTGACCCGTTTTTCTTTCAAATAATATTCCAAAGACTGATATCTGTCTGTTCATGCAGCATATAGCAGCAGAGTGGATGAAGTTGATTCAGAAGCACTAACCATTGTTTGTGAGCCAGGAAAGCAGCAAGAATTCTGATTGGCATTGTTATTTATTATTTTTGAATGCTGATGGTGCATTTACATGACAGAGTCTTTCCTGTGCTTATTGACATTCATAAATGAAAAGGCTCTGCTTTGCTGACTATTTAACCGGTAATTTAATTTTCCTAATGACTTTCTTTACAGGAACTGGATTTTGAAGCCAAAACAAGTTACACACTACGGATAGAAGCTGCAAATAAAGATGCCGACCCCCGCTTTCTAAGCTTGGGTCCATTCAGCGACACAACAACCGTGAAGATAATTGTGGAAGATGTGGATGAGCCCCCTGTGTTCTCTTCACCCTTGTACCCTATGGAGGTGTCAGAAGCTACCCAGGTTGGGAATATCATTGGCACTGTAGCAGCTCATGACCCAGATTCTTCCAATAGCCCTGTGAGGTAAAAAGTCATTGCTCTCCTTTTCTATGGTTTTACAAACAGTGCATCTTTATTCACAACTCTTGTTTTATGCTATGATGCTTCTTTGTTCATAACAAATAAAAAACTATATATATATATATATGTATATATAGAGAGAGAGAGTTATAGCAGCAGAGGTAAAACAGGATTAGAAATATACATTTTACTAACTCAAAATCGTCATCTGATTATCAAGGCCATTATCAATGAGCCATGTTTTTAGTCATCCATTATTATCTACAAGCCATAGCTTATGTTTCTATTCAACTGATTATCCTGAACCTATTTTAAAGCAAAGCATGTTCAAAAATGAAGCGATGCATGTTTTAGTTGTAGGATACATGCATATGTTAGAAAAATAATTATATCAGCAATTCAAATTAGGGACTAATTTGAAAACAAATCTCTTTATTTATATTGGTCTACTTGAACGGTATATATTTGTTCAGTTTAATATTTCCACTTAAAAAATTTTAAAAAACTATCTACATGTAAAGACTATTAAGAATATCCTTTCAGTAGTCTTATATCAAGGCTAGACACTGTTATAGCCAGATAATATCTTTAATACTGACACAATGGTGATATATAAGCATTTCAAAATATGTCAACCTTACATTTTGCACTTTTTAGCTATAATTCATAATCTGAGATCTACATGTGTTTTTGTGTGTATACATGTGTTTCTGTGAGACTTATTTGTTTAAGTTAACATTATAAAAAATAGAATATAATTGAAATAAAATGTCTATTGTATTATATGTCTTATTTGGGTTTGTAAGTAAAATACTTCACTTTTCAACATAAAGGTTTGATTTTGATTACAAAGACTATAAGGTAAAAAAAGAAAAAGAAAACGCAATGATTATTTTATATTCAGATATGTTCAATTATAAGCTATGCACAGATTTTTAGATTTAAATAATATTTAACAATGGTAAGTGCTTTTCAGCTAACTTTTGAGATAAGTCTGGACTTTGACTCTAAATTATCATGAAAATTACTTAATATTTGTTGGTTTAAAAAAGCCCATAATGTTGTTTCTTTCTAAACTAATAAAGTGATTCTATACATTTATACACACACACACACATATTTTAAAGTAGTATATATACATATATGTATGTGTGTATGTGTGTGTATATGTGTGTGTATATATATAGAGAACCTTGTAAAGGATTGGTATAGAATAATAGTTATTTAAAAAATGAAATCATACATATTATGTCCTTATCTAGACAGCAATTTCAGAATGTATTGATGATTATACTGTTTTTAATGTGGTGATAATAGACCATTTCTGAGAATATAATCTGTGCACAAGAATATTTATGAATCACAAATATAGCAGATAGAATAAGCCTTCCCCTCTTCTCTGTAATTGCCCTGCCTTCACGGTCAAGAAAATTTCCTGACTGCAGTTCAGCTCCACATACCAAGTTATATTAATTTGGGCAAAGATGAGTGTGAGTTTTGTTATAGCATTCCATCTCTTAGTGAAACCTTAAATCTCTTGCCCTCATGAACAATCAACCACAGCACAATTACTGGCATAGATTAGCTGCTTAGGACAATTTGGTTTTTGCTTGAATCATTTAATTTAATGGAAAGAGAGACATGCTTTCATAAAGTTGGAGATATGGAGAAAGAAAGACATTAATATATATCATAATTTACTACTAAAATGAATGATGGAGCCAGGTGGGATGACAAATGCCTGTAGTTCTAGCTACTTGGGAGGCTGAAACAGGAGGATCACTTGAGACCAGGAGTTCTAGATTGCAGTAAGCTACAACTGCACTTGTAAGTAACCATTGCACTCCAGCCTGGACAACATAGTCACACCCCTGCCTATAAAATAAATAAATGAACAAGTAAAATGAAAAGATTTAAGAATATTTTCATTGATTGCATTGATATTTTTATCCTGTTCAAATTCTTCTATTACCCAGTCCCTTGTTGTCGTTCTGTTGAAGCCTTTCATAGAAAATATTTCACTTTTTATAGTATTTTTGTTGAAAAAATGTCAATGTTATTATATAATAATTTGAAGAATAAGAAGGAATAGAGGGCCCAAGTGGAAGGTGACTTGAGAAAGAGCAAGTAGTGACTAGAGAGAGATGAAGTGAGCTCCAGGTCTGTTCTCTGAAGGACAGAGGTCAAAGGCTGAACTTCTGATTTTGGAAGTAAAAATCTCTGTGGTCTTTATCAGTGAAAGAGTACCTACCCAGCACCATATTTTTTACCCCACTTTCATTTCCTTAAAAGTAATGATGGTGACCTGAAATTTCAAGTTAGTATTAGCTTACATTGTTATCTCACAAATAGAGAAATAGACAGACTTTGTCCCCAGTGAATTAAACTTTTATTTTGAATATATGAATATTTCTTTTGCATTTGTAGAATTAATTTCTTGAGTCACGTTTAATACTTACATACTTGAAAGTTTTTACATGATTTTCGTAAGGTCAGCACAATTATTTGCACCTTTTTTTTTTCTGCATTTGTCTTTCTCATACTTCTCTTCCTCTATCCTTTAATATAATATCCCTTAAGAGGCCAGTCTCTTTATTTTATAATTTGTTGAGTCTGCATTACTCTCATGCATTCTCTTGAAGACTGGTTTCCTTCCCAGCACTGCTGTTTGTGGAACAACCTAGGAGATGTCACCTTGCTTCCTATGTTTTTGTATTAGCCAGCAAAAAGGAAAAGTAACTGATGCTTTATCCCAGGATTTTCTGATGATTGACTAAGAGAGAGAAAGTAAATGAAGCTTTTAAACTGTGAATCATGACTTAAATATTACCATGTATTATCATTATGTATTGCTATTATTATAGGTTATTGTGTTTTCATGCCATTTTAATTCTGAGATTAATGAAGTCAGTAAAAGAGACATAGCATTTTATACGCAACCATATTGGCAATCTATATTGCAGGTTGTTTTGTACTCACACATATTCCAAAAGATATAACATATTGTAGGGCTTTTTGATGAATATAAACATGTATTTGCATTAGGCACTCCAGTAACTATCAAAATGTAAATCCTGTCTCATAATATATGTTTAACATAATAAAACATATGTTAATAGATGAATAAATAGCAGTCTTCTGAGGTACTAGGAAAAGTGAATCTCCAGATTGAGATGGAGCATGAGGAGTCTTAACAATTGTGAGCTTTGTGCGTTACACCTTTAGCAATATTGTAGTTCTTTGAGGAATGAAAAAGCATTATTTGTTTTGTTGTAATTGTTTAAAATTAGACCAGTAGGGTTTGACTTGTAAAATAATATAGCCAATGGGATGATTAGTTTTGAATTTATTGACATTATTTGTTGTATAATACTGAAATCTAGCATATGTCATTTATGTTTGTAATATTTTCTGATATATGAGGCAATGTTAAAATTCTAGAAAATATATATTTAGTTGCCCCCAGCAAGGCAAAGTTGATACTGTCTTCCTACATGATCCCTGCTTTGCACAGCATTTTAAAATGGCTACCTACTTTACTGAAGTACCAACCAAAGGTTATGCATAACTCTTCTCTGTGAATCCTTTAAAAAAGACTGGGGCACCTACATGACTATTGGAACCTGAGCATTTTGATGTTCACAAGTGTAGTTGTCATAGATGGAAAGATTAAGCCGCAAGTCCAGTAAACCACCATTTCATGTACACTGTACTGTCCGTTTGTGGCAGGGGGTGGTATGTGGAAATAAAACCATATGTAAACTAAAATTGCAGTCAAAGCCAAGGGTGGAAGTTAGTTGATACTTGAGAATACTTAGAGGAAAATTTTTTTTTTTTTTTTTTAGGAAAAATGGGTAATTGAGGGCAAGCATGTTTCTGGCTTGTTATTTGATAAGTAGCTGTTTATCACATCATGTATTTTGGCCCTAAGTACTCAATATCGGGCTTTATCTCTTGAACTTGGAAGGACAGATTGTGGTCTGTTGATTCTGGTCATGTTTCTGAATGATAGAAACTTCACTTCTGTGTTTCTCATCCAAGATGGTAAAAGCTGTAAGAACACCCTAAAGTCTAGAGGATTTGACTCATTTTTCATGTCAGCATTGGCAGACTGATCAATGACTGAACAGGCATTCATTAAAAACCTGTGTTATGCAAGGCACTGGGGAAATGCTAATGAGAAAACAAAGATAAATAAAACATTTCCTCTGACCTTAAGGAACTTATAATCTGGATGAAGTAATAAGATCTCATAAAAGTTAAACAATATGGGGAAAAATATGCCAGCACTGTAATATGGCAAATTGTAAGATAAATAATCAGCACTCCAAGTTCAGGCTGTGAGATTTCATGTGAAGGAGAGGTAGAGTAAGTAGGGCTTCAAGGGATGGCAGGATTTGGACAAGCCAAGAAAACATCATGCAAAATACATTTATGTTTTATTTGGTTATATCTTAAAAGCCTAATACTAAATTATGAAATAAGCAAATTCATTTCTGCAGGCATCACAGCAAACCCAAAGTTCCTATGCTAAAAATGACCAATGAAATGGAACATGATATTATTACAAATAAGATCAGATATGAATACAGGAAAAGAAAAAGTACTAGGCATCATTTTAAGCATTTCTAATAATCTAATTATAGAAATATGTTTATATTTATGTTAAAGGATTCTTGGATAATATTTACCTGTGGGCTTTTTCCACATTCCTGGTATTGTATACCCTCACATAAAAACTGGTAATAGTATATCAGAAATTCCTTTTTGTGACTAGTGTGAACATATTTGGAGTATTTGAATAATTCAATGTGTATTTTTTGAGTAGCTTGTATTAATGCATTTATGTGCACATATGAAATCTAAATTATTTGTGAATATCTATTTTATTCTAAGAAAATTAGCAAGCCGATAACATAACATACAGAAAAATAATAGCAGCAGTAAAACTGATTAACTTAAAAAGTAGCGGATATTAAATCTGTGAGAAGACTATAAGCTGT